GAGCCCTGGAGGGAAAGATGCTGAAAGTGTTTTTTTCTCAAAACCTGCCCAAAAGAGGGGTTTGTGAGTGTGAGGAGCAGGTTCAAAGCACGGGAAGCAGCTGGTGCCCAAGTAAACACAGAAACCAAAACTGTACAGCACCCAAATGGCTGCTCCCCAGAGTGGTGATGGGGCAGAACACCGCCACAGCCTGTGCCGGGTGGGAACTGGTTTATATTTGACACCATGACCAGAGCACCCTGCCAGCCTTCGCCATTCCACCGCACTCTTCTTCCCTGCAGTGCCGTGCCCCACCCACGGCAGGTTTGGCATCATCCAGGACCAGCTCTGCCACTCCGCTCTCACTGCTTCGCTTTTCGGACGGGGAAAAATACCCTGCCACCCAGCACCAGAATGCCCAGCAGCACAAGCCACCCAGCGCAGCCCTGTGATGGGCCAGGGTGGGCATGGCCACGCAGGGTCCCTCCAGCAGGCACCGTCCCCAACAGCACCCCCGGTCCCGTGAACACAGGGACACCCAGGGGTGCCCAGACCTGACTTGAGCAGTGGCAGCAGCAAGCTCAGCCAAAACCACCAGCTTTTCTGAAAGATCACTCCTGTGATGAGGATTGTCATCTCTGTGCTCACGTGATGAGCAGAGCAGCTCCCGGGGCACCTCACCCCATCCCCTCGTCTTTTGCACCCTGCTGCTCTCTGCCCATACGCCATGCCAAGGGTTTTCCAGCAGCAAGGGGCATGCCGTGGGGCCAGGGAGAACCCGTCTCTGCCCCCCTCACCCTCCAGGTGACTGCAGGTGCCGGGGCTTCGCTTTGCTCCCAGGTTCCACTTCCCGCTCCGCTCTACATGCGCCCAGCGTGGGACAGAAACTCTCGGCCTCTGCCAGGTTGAGGGGACCAGGCACAGGAACGGGGCGGGGGGGAAAACGCCTGGCAGGGGAACCGAGCGGGCAAAGGCAGCTCAGAGCCTCTGGAGGCAGGGGGGCTGCTCAGAAACAGGAGTGAGATGGGTGTTGGGTGGGAGGTGACTCGGGCAAGCGCCCTGCTGGGAAGTGTCACCGTCCAGCTCAGTCGCAGCATCCCAGCTGCACGACGGGACGAGGGCAGGCAGCACAGCCTGGTCCAGGAGCCCTTGCAGGCAGATCCCCAGGTTCATGGGGACACAGCCCAGGCCCAGCAAGGCTCCGGGTCTTCAGAGAGGCCAGGACATTGCAACGAGCTAGGGGTGCCCTCAGGAAGAGTCCCCTCCGCCTCCCCAGCACCGGGCACGGCTCCCCGCCCTACCCGCGCCGGCCCATGCACCAGCTCCGTGCAGGCACTGCCATCTGCAGGCAGTAGCTCCAGGGCCTCTCCCAGCACCAAGCACACAGCACCCTGACTCTGGAGCGAGCTGCTGAGCAACCCAACCGCTACGGTCACCCACACCCAGCAGGGCTGCACCCACCACGGCAGGTAGCCAGTCCCCAAGCCCAGGGGTGCTCACCCAGCCCAGCCTCAAGCAAGCCATCAGTTAACACATGGAGATCTGCAGGCAGTAGCTCCAGGGCCTCTCCCAGCACCAAGCACACAGCACCCTGACTCTGGAGCGAGCTGCTGAGCAACCCAACCGCTACGGTCACCCACACCCAGCAGGGCTGCACCCACCACGGCAGGTAGCCAGTCCCCAAGCCCAGGGGTGCTCACCCAGCCCAGCCTCAAGCAAGCCATCAGTTAACACATGGAGAAACCAGCCATGGCTTCCCCTCTCCTCTGCCCCAAGCAGCTGGCAGCAGGATAGGAGCCACTAACCTCACACATGGCCACTCAGGTGTGGACAGTCCCCAGCAAAACAACCCCCAGACTGCACCTCCCTCGCACAGAGCATCAGCAGCACATCTGCCCTGTGTGAGGGAGGAAAAGGGGCTATTTTTTAACGCAGTGAGGGAGTTGCGTATAGTCTCTCTGCCAGGAAACAGCCAAGATCATATTTTTTCAACTAGTTCTGCCTCCAAAAAGGAGCCCTTATCCCAGGTGGCTTCAGCTATGGGGCCTTTACCCTCATTTGCCCCTGGAAGGAAAAGAAAGCATCCTCTGAGATCACAAAGACATGACACAGGAAACTCCATGCTGCAGAGGGGATTTTTCAGAAGCATTTATTTCACTGCTGACACCGGGGCTGCAGGAGGCAGCTGCTCACCGAGCTGCCCTTCACTGCAGAAACCTCACTCCCCTCAATCACAAGAATCCACATATGGTCGGCATCTGCTCACCTTTCAGCACCTACATTACACAGACCTACATCACCGGGACATTCACCTGTTAGGGACACGACTTAAAGGATTAAAAATAATGATAACAATAAAGCAATCTACAACATAACACTTGGAGGCATCATGCGGAAAACAGATGATTTTAGACTACATAGTGGATCAGATTTGCTAGGTTTATTGGAGGACAAGTGCTAAGTGCTTCCCTGCCAGTCCAACACGGTGCCAAGCTAGGGTGTGTTCCCAGACAGGACAACAGCTCTCCATTTCCTACCCAGTGACAGGAAACACTTCCAGGTCACAGTTTATACTTCCAGAACTACACAAGATTATGTGCTTGTAAAAGGTGCTGCAGAGTCCTGAAACTTCCTTCTGTGACACTGCCTGCTTCCTACCAAGTGGCAGACACTTGAGTACAGAAGAATGCCTGAGCTGTAGGGTTTTTTCTCCTCTTATTTAAATAAAAACAAAAGCTGACTGGTAAAATGTTATTTAGCACAGGCAGACCAAAAAATAATTTTTTTTTTAAAAAAAATCATATTACACTGGAAATATACAAATTGGCCCACAAGAAAGAAGCAGCTACATACTATTGCCCCATAATGAGTTTTTCTTCGCCTACAGTTTCAACTTCCCAAGTGAGGTAGGGAGAGGGCGACCACAGGAAAAAAAGGTGGTGTTTCCAAAGGATTCCACTGTTTTTAAGTTATCCTTCTGAATCCTTCATGTAAAGTGTTCTTTAAGGAAACATTGCCTTTTCTTCACAACAACATTCAGAGTTTTGGTTTTTTTGGTTGTTTTGGGTGAGGGAAAGACGGAGAAAGGGAGAAAGAAAACAAGCATCCCAGAGATTAAATGCTGGCAGTTTTGACACATTTTGGAAGGAAAGCACAGTTATAAAAAGGAAGGAAATAATGTAGCAAATGTAGTGAATCTGCAGATAGAAGGGAAAAATAGAGTGCTGACATAGTTTGCACTGTGCCCGCTCCAACAGCACTTGAATTACACACCCTGTTCACACGGAAACATACTGTCATACACAGCTGTCAGGAGAGAGAAAGTGGACGCTTACAAACCTGTAGTTTAATTTTGTGGGAATCAGCAATATTGAAGCCTTTCATAGTCCCTCCAGGTACCAGACAGAATGTATTTTAAGGCATAATTTAACATCCATTTCTTCCTAAAGCAATTTAAAGTGTAACAAGCCAAGATGTCAAACACAGAAAACTCAACAATAACTATTCTGACAGAGGTGAAAGCTATTTTATGTACAGTGCAGTATTTGCCTTCAAACAGGGGAGTCTTATCTTTAGAAAAAAAAAGAAAAATAACTGCAGACCCAGATTCTAAAAAAAGCAAACATTGCCAACACAAGGAATGTTCATTAGAGTCCAGTTCCCACTAGAGCTACTCAACAGGAGGACGTACAATGTGATTACGCTAAACTGCACTGATTGACTGTTCCCAGAGCGTAGCCCCGGGAGGGGGGCAGAACCGTGGGAGGCCAAACCCTGCAGTACCCTAGTGCAAACTGCCTCAGAGGAAAAGCCTGTAGTCAACAAGCCTTTACACCTATTGTCAGGCTTCACTAAGAGATGTGGAGTCAAGTGTCACCTAACAATTTCAGGACACTCCCGTAAAGGTGATGGTCCTGCGTGGATTCTAATGCACATCCCCCGTGAACAGTGTCCTGCACACATACACCTGCCAGGCTACCGGCTTTCCCTCTTCCGCGACTGCAGCCAGCTCACAGCCACCAGAATCTCACATAAACGATCAACATGATAAAAAACACAGCTACGGCCGCAAGTTTGGCGTAAGTGGAACGCATGTTCAGATACTTCGCGTCCTGACGGTACTTCTTGGACAAACTGGACAAGTTGTTGGCCTTGGAATCAAGAGCTGTTAAAGGGAAAGGGAAGAGAAGTTAATCAAGATCGACCCAACCAAACATTCCCCAAATGTTCCATTAATGGTACAAGTTTCTCCGGAGCAGCTGGAAGCACAGTAGTTTCACATGGCATCATGCTCTGTGCCTATCTGCAGTGCTCTAGTGCTTGTCCTGCTGGGATGAGAGCCACCCAAGCTGGTGAGATATTGGTCTCGTCCAAAAGAGGCACCAATACCTGCCAGGTGCTTCAGGATGCAACCGATCCAACTGAAACACCCACTGAGTCCGCTGCTTTTCTTGGGAGGCTCAGGGATGAGCAAGCCTTTCCCTCCCTCCAGTATGCTCCACTCACCCAGCTGACCAAGGGGACAAGGAACCACATGCCAATTATCCGCCATTCCCTGTACCTGAAAGGGCCTCTCCTCGCTGTAAGACCTCCTCAATGTTGGCCACCATAATTCTCTGCACATCTTGCAGCTCTGTGTTGATGGAGCCCAGGTTCCTCCTTGCCCGGCTATCAATGTAGAGCTTCTTGGTTTTCTGGATGTAGGTATCTGGAACAAGATGGGGTTATCAGAGGGAATCTCACCTAACGCAGAGCAGCCAGGCTGCTGAAGGAGCGGGAACGTTGCTGAGACAGCCAGCAGCAAATATGCACTGGAGCGAGGCCAAGAGACTTACAGCAGGAAATAGGAATTGAAAGACATTTACCACTTCCCTACCACTTCTCTTGCTCAAAACATCCATTTCTCTAGTGTCAAGAAGAGGCTGAACTGTCAATTCCATAGGCCAAGCTGGAGAGGACCCTGTGGCCGCAGCTGCTCCCCCCTCAAGCAAGAAGTTTCCCAACTAGAAAGGGGAGGGACCTCACCAAATTCAATGAAGGAATACGGCCTGGAGACCGTCGGCACCTTCTTGCCATGCTGCTCATCAAACTCTGAATGCAAGTCTTCCAGATACGCGAAGGCCAGTTTCTTGGGGAATGCAGCTTCGCACAGGACCAGGTAACACACCCCTTTCTCAATGATGTAGCTAGAAGAACAGCAGACAGAGCCTTAATCAATCAATTTTGAATCTATCCTATCAAACACCACGCTGCACACCTCTATTCCTATGAGGCAATGAGAGCTGGGGACAGCGACTTCCAGTTTGCCATGTCTGGATCAGGTATAAACCTTTCTACAAAGTAATGGTGTATTTTTTTTCTTTACCTAAAATAAATTTTCTTGTAGCCTCAGACCCTATACCTGTACCACCAGCCCTGAATTTTGACTTCACTGGAACAAAAGTTGGCCTGGGAGTATCATTAAGCTTAACAAAATACCAGCAACAAAAGAGTTATAATTTTGGAGTAAAAAAAAAAAAAAAAAGGAGGATACCGTCCCTCTCTCCCTCCTGCAACCAGAAGGAGGGGAGCACAAGCAGCACAACAGAGGGAAAGGTGACCAACACAGCTCCAAGACAACGAGGCACAGCCAAGTACTCAAGGCCCACAAATGGGAAGCTCTGCCCTGAGATTAGGACATGCACAAGAATTTGGTCTCAGCATGCTAAAAAGCCACCCAGTGACTGCCAGCTCCTGCTTTCTGTTTTGGAGGGCTGGGTATCCCCTTCCTCTCCAACACCAGCCTGTTGGTGGGGTGTTGCTATCCACATGCATGACCTTAAAAGAGGCTAGGGAAAAATATCGTTGCTAGATGGGTTCTGGTGACTCCCCTTACAGGTTTGCCATGGGGAAGTATGACTATGCTACCAGCTCTTCGGCTGCAATGTTAGGACCTCCAAACATACGTTGAAACAGGAGCTACTCTTGCTGTGCAACGCTGTTTGGTTTGTTCTGCAGCTGAATGCGCGGGGAGGTCCTCTTCTCCTCCTCCTGTCACCCCATCCCCATCGCATCTAATCTGTATTTGTTAGCAGAGGCTTAGTGCTGACCTTGTTTCAGTGTGAGCTCCAGTGCCTCCATCAGCACTGAGAACAGGGACCTTTCATTACAATTCAGCTAAAAAGCTTACTGAAATAAGGGATAAGACAGGACCAATCTTGAGATTATTTAGGTTATTCAGGCTTCCCTACAACTGTCTGCTGCTGCACATTCCCAACTACATTTTCTTCCTCATTTAGCCAATAGAAAAAATAAAGGCAACAATATTTCCACCAAAACCAAGGGAGTGGAGATAGTAGATAGCCCTGCATACACTTTTGAATGTTTACGTATATTATCCAGAGTGGAATTTAAATGCTACTTTTATGTTACCTTCCTTTGACTTGCTGCATAATGCCATTATGTAGCAGCCTAGTTAGCATAAAGATTAACAGCGTATTAAAGAATTGACCCAGTCACGAGGGCACAGTAGTTAAAGAAGTAGCTTAAAATTTTGTTAATAGCGCCATCAGGCTTACAAAACAACTTCCTCTCCCTCCCCACTATTTTTCCAGATATCCCAACAGGTCCAAGTCCTTTGAATTAACGATCCTCAATGTGTTTCTGGACTCAGGAGCATCCATTTCTCCTGCCTCCACATGGCCTGTGTGCAAATCCTCCCAGTCTTCAAATAACACCAGATTCACCCCAACCAGAAGCAAGAAACTCCAGTTACTATAATCCACCCCACAAGTGTGTCCCCATGAGCCTGTGCTTTTATTCCTTTTTACATCCCTCAGCTTGGGCTGCATCAGTGCATAAGATTAATTCTACAGTACATCATGCCTCTGTTCTTCCCTTACCCTTGGAGACCTGCTTGACAGCTTGGAGCTGCTACAAATCATCACCCCACAGCTTGATTTAGCCACTGTCATGAACAGTAAGACTTGAAAATAATCTTTTGAAATAAGGAAAACTCATGTCAGATAGGAATGCTGACAGTACTGCCTGAGAACCAGAGCAGGGAACTCAAGATGAGAGGGGTCCGGCCCAAGCAGCTGGTCCTGCCCAGAGCTCTTCAGCTGTATTTCCCCCTCACTTTTCCCCCTGTTGTGATATTAGATTTGTGATGGATTTAAAGTTGATCTGTCAGCACCCCAGACAGCAAGCACACCTCATTCTGTCCCACGGCCAGTTTTGTCAACCTCAGCTCAGCATCAAAGCAGAATTCCTGTACAGCTGGGCTTTGCAGTTTTACACTTTGTGTGTGCCTCTGATCTCCAGCACAGCGCTCTGGATTTCTGCACGCTGAGTGTAGCCAGTAGGTTTTTTTATAATTATCTTGGATCATTTTGAGAGAGAAAAGCTTTATCCTGGTAACACTGGCAAAGACCAAGGGTTGTTTTCAACATGACAGGTAAGAGCCACTTCAGCCATTCACCAGCCAAAGGTCACCTACTGACTGACAGCACAGCAGACTCCATCAGTGTTTCTGCACCTGCACAGCCGCGTACACCGAGTGCTGTAGCTGAAAGGGTGACACAGCTTTTGGAGCCCAAGTCTAAACATTACATTTGACATAAATCACCTCACTGGCCATAATTTAAGCTTCACATTTCAGCAAGATTTGGCTCTTCTCTTAACTGATCAAGCTAAAAATGTCCTACATCACCTCAGCAAGTTCAGCAATATCCTTAGCCACACTTGTAACTCTCGCACCACAAAAGGCTCTGTGCAGGTTTGTGCTGCCCTCAGCAGTCAGAGCTCTGATTTGGCAGGGAAAAAAAAAAAAAAAAAAAAAAAGTGCTGCATTAACGAACAGCATAGCCATTGGTCAGCATTATTTTAGACTAAATCTCAAACTCCCCCATTTCGTCTCCTTCCTGTACTGTTATCACAGGATGTTTTCTGATCTGAAAGTATTCTTTTTATATAGGTCCTGCCTTAACGCCCCACCTTAAAAGAGGCAGCAGTTGAGTGCTTTGCAGTAGCAGCTGTCAATCCCTGCGGAACTTGTCTGGGGACTAACTCAATAGAGGAGGAGAAACGCTCCTTTTCCCACTCACCTGCCAGCCAGGTAACCTGGCCGTTTCTTCGTAACAGCTGTCAAAACAAGAGCTTGCCCAGGTCTTCTCGCTTTGTCAGAACTGGTGACATTACAGCCACCGTTAAGAGGCTTCGATTTCCTTGGCACTGCAAGTGGCTCAGCCTTCCCAGACATCGCTCTGCTTGCATCATGGAAGCCACACAAGAAGGGATTTACTAGGATCTACACAGACTCTTCCCCAAGGCTTCACTGTCAGAGTTACACCCCTGCAGTGCCATGGAAACATTTAAAACCAGAGTTTTTAAATTCTAGAAAGTTCTAACTTCTAGAAAGGCGGCAATGGAGTGCAGCACTTTGCAGTTAACTCTGGCAACACCACCCAATCCTGACAGGGGATAGGGATAGCCAGACTATTTCAATCAGGGCCATCCTCTGACCACTATAACTCCCTATCAAAGGCAACCAGAAACCAAGAGGAAAAAAGATTAAAGAAAGTCTTGTCACAGTTATCATATGTAAGCCAAACATAAGAAAAGTTGCCCTCAAACCTCATGGCTTCTGCCAAAGATAACCTTTCCAAAAAAAACTCCTGTTCCTGTCTCTTCATGTCACCGAACCTCTAAGAAAGGGACAGGGCGGGAGATTTGCTAAAGAACCCTTATTATAGAAGCACAGACCTAAAACCAACCTTGCTCTGCATTCGAAAGCCGTCTCCCACCCACCCAGCCAGTCACCAGGGCTGGGGCATCAAGAGGGATCCCGCTGCTGGCAGCGCGGCAGAAGTGGTGCCAAGCGCAGGAAATCTTGGCACATCACTGGCAAAACTGCACAACTCTGCCTCAGTGATCTCACGTGGAGCCTGATCTCAGGGCATCTAACACAATTATTTCTGCTAACAGCATAATCCTGATTCTTCACAAGATCTTGGGCTTGATTAAGTTCTCAAATGTTATTCTGCTAGGTAATTACGTATCATGTAAGGAAGCATTTCCTTTTCTTGAGCATAAGCTTGCTCTTCTGCCTTTCACTGACTGTCACTTCTTCCTCTGTTTACTTGTCTTTCTGGTTCCCTTGCTATTGATTAGGGAGTTAGGGTGTCTGGTCTGCATTCTCTGTAAGTTTTCATTATTTTATATTCAAGTTCCCTTGTTAGTGTGCTACTGGAGAAAGCCAAAAGTGCTTTTAAGTTGAGAGTTTCCAAATGGTTTAGGAAATGAATTAAACACACCCAAAACATTTGGCAAAAAAATACTGAACCTACAAGATGAGAGAAAAAAGTTTGTCAGATACTAAAGAAATAATAATAAAAAAAGAGATACACCATATGCTTCTACATAAGACACTAATATGTGAAAAAAGGTACACACTCATGGGAATCACGGAGAGGAAAATTTTGTGCAAGAGGAGCTCAGTTGTGCTGCCAGACTGTTTTTACCAAAGACATCTCTTTTTAAAAAAGACACAGAAGGTACAAAAGACGCACTGAAAGTATCTTGGAGGGTGCAAACAAACAGAAAAACCTTAAAGGGAACAGAACCTACAGAGTCTTCAGCAAAGGTAGAACTATGGACCTGGCTGAAAAACAAGCATCAGATAGCAGTGCCAAGGAGTAACAACTCACAGCTCCCCCCTTAGAGCGGCTGTTACACCTCAGCGAGCAGGGCAAATAGGTAACTCCCCTCTCTCAGGCAGCCCAGTTTCTAACAAATCCTCAGCGTGGCCCAGGGCAGCAGAAACCTGTTCTCCCAGCACGCCGACAGATACTTACTGGAAAGCCATGGCTCCTGCTTCGAGAGTACATCTCGTGGGGGACTGCTCGTTCAGCTTGCGAAAGAGCTGCTTTGCTTGGCTCTGGTACTGCTGCAGATCGCGGCCTGACTGAGGAGGGAGAACAGGCTGTTGAGGGCGGCTG